ACTGCGAAGCAGTGAGGTAAATATCCACGACTAGCCACCGACACTGAGGTGAATAATTGTTTTAGTATATACTAAAACAGTGAGATAATTGAGCACAAAAACGACGATTTTTAACTCAAATACTGTTGCCAACAATTACAATTTTGGCGCGTAATGACCGGGCGGCCGCGGCCGTCGCTTTTTCTTGCCAGCAACTAAAACTTTTGAAGGCATTTATTTAGCTCTTGCGGGGAAATTTCTTCAAAAGGAGTTGTGAATTCTTTTTGTATTTAAAATCATTCTATAAAAAAAGATTACTAAATTTAGTTTTAAGCTTATTTATGAACAACTCAACTAAATAAAGTAAGCAAGACTTAAGCTTCATTTGCATTTGTAAACAAAAAACTTTTTCACCGGTTTTATCGATAAATTCGTGTCAAAAAGACAAAGCTTTACCTGTTAAAACTTCCAATCCGAACTTCGTCACCTTCTTCGTGTATTTCGGAGACAGCTTGCTTGATTAGTTGTGAAATTTCTTTGTTTGTTTACGGCAGCAGACCGGGAAGGCATTTTGCTTGCAACTTACACGAGTTTGGCGTCACTCGCTCCGAGGAACTGGAGGTGAATCAGTGAATAGTGCAGGATATTCACTGATTGAGTAGCCAATCAGAGCGCGCGAAAAACACTATCCACTGTTTTAGTATATACTAATAAAATTTAATAATTATTATATTTATCATTGGGATGAACATAGAAATCTTCTTTTTTTTTAGTTTATAGACAGTTGTTTACATTTGCTCTATTGATTCACCAGACCACCAAGAAGTCTTTTTTTAACTATAGTTTTATACTAAATTTGTACTTAATTTTCAATTTGAGAAGAGTTTTTAAAAAAAAAAAATTATTATTATTATTATTATTATTATTATTATTACTTGATTATTATTGTTGATAGCGTGACAGTGAAACCAGCAATTCAAAGGTTAAAAATTAGGCTGCGTAGTAGATCGAGAGACAAGGATATTTCTGGTGTTTCAATTTCTTCCTATTAATTCAGTAAATAAATCCAAATTTGTTTTTACTCCTCAGCTCCACCGACTCAGCTGCAAAGTTTACTTAGACAATAAAAAATCAGTGTAAATTACAATTTATTTATCCTGTTCACAGACCATCACGTGGCCCTCTATTTCCTCTTCAAAGTCCGTGGAGTGCGCGGTACAGGCTACAATTTATTTTGAAATATATTTTTGCCATTCAACGATCTAGAACTTGTTCGAATAAATGAAATTAACTAAAAAATAACTAAATGATCGACTAATATTAATTCTTTTATAAACCTCTAATGTCTTGGAGGACAAACTTTTTTAGATATATGGTTAAACCAGGATCGATATATTAATAGATTTTAGACTTGCTCGCAATCCCAAGGTAACAACGACAGCACTCGTCCGCTAATCCCTCCATCTAAACAGGCCGGATTTTAAGTGCCAGACTATCACCCATTCGACGTGTATTGAGAAGAAGGCACTTGATTGACATATATGGGTGAGTCACTGCAGGCTCCCCTGTCGCATGCTGTAACAGAGGTGTAGAAGCCTTCTCCTGGTTTCTGAAAAAGTAACATTGAAATCGAGTGTTGATAGATTGAATGCTAAAGCATTATTAATGCTTAAAATGATAATGATGATTTCAATAATCGGGATTGACGCTACCAAGAACGCAGCCCAGATTTCCATCCGCACAGGACGGCTAAACTTATTCGAAAAGAAAACAACCTCCCCCCCCCCCACCCGGACACCCACGCAGCACATCAACTTCGTTTGATGGTTTTCAACACAGGAGCTACCTGCTACTTAACCGCCGTTACTGCCTGGGTTGAGAACAGAAGTCGCCGGTAAGAGGCCAATCCATTCTCCGGTGTCCTGCGAAGTTGACTAGAGTTCAACTTCACAAACGTGCCAGGGGGAAAGACCTGCCATGTTCCTTGCTGCCGGCGATACGGACGTGTTTGTTCTCATATGTCAGAGCAGTATCACAGGCAGTCCTGGGGTGGTCAACAGCTAGAAATTTCCTAGCACTAAGGGGACAAAGAGATTTCATAAACTCTTCGATTCCTCTGTGAGAAAAAGAAAAGTCTGAAATCAAACGAGAGATGATTCCACTTACTGTTGACAGACGACGCAACGTAGCGTATCCACATTCCATCCTAACAGGTTGTACTGTTTCGTATTCACATCCTCCTTCTTCGTTTTCATCAGACACACCAGCCTGTCGTCTATGTTCATCCTCGGCTGGATTCAACAATGAGGTGTTCTTAACTCCAAGCTCAATCCTGGAGAGGTACAATTATACAAATTGCTGAAATCAGGAACCAATCTGATGAAATATATATTTTATTTATTTTTTTGCAGGTCCATATAGGACGTCCAATTCAGTGCCGTCGTCGTAGTAGTGGTAACCTTTATTAAGTGATGTTTATTGATTTTTTTGCCTTTTTTACATATAAATTATGAAGGGAAAAGAAGGTCTCAAGAAACCATGAAGGCTTATAGGTGAGACTCCCTCCTTACATTAGATTTAGCTGTTACTATAGTTATTTAATTAAATCAATATACTTATATAAATAAAGAACAGCATATAATAAAGTAATTTACAAACACATAGAAAATATTAAGAGAACGTTAATTATCTAATAATTAGTAGTAAATTACAAACGATTTATTGAGTATTCTGTAAAATAATTAAATATGAAGTGGTCTAATACACTTAGCTCATTACAGTATTGAAAGTATCGCTGCTGCTATTATCCAGGAATTGCCAAAAACAAAAATAAAAGAAACCCCAAAACACTGGGATATATTATATAGAAATATGAGAATATGTACAGTACTAAAAATAAAACCATGTACAGACCTTTAATGTGTAACATCAACTTTTTTCAGGCTCCTTGTAAAAGCTACTTAGTTTAGTTTCATATGTCTCAATGGAGAGACATGAAACCGCGTAAAGGAGAGGTAAATCTGGAGAACATTTTTTGAGCCGTGTTTTCGTTTTTCTTTTTAAGATGGCCGCTATTCAGATTCAGAATGCTGTTTAAATGTAGTTGCAGATTCTCAGCAGAGCACGGTATTCGACACATATAACACAGACAAATCTCAAGGACGACAGAGGAGCTTTGTTACTACAAAATGTGTATGGTTACCGAAAAGTTCCATTTAATTATTTTGGATTTTATGAGTTTTTGCTCAGGGTCGATAAGCAGCCTCTTTTGAATCTACCTTAAGTCACTTAGGGAATGAGTGGGGTGGGGAGAGATGATCCTTTCTTTAACCCATTCGCCCCTGAACCGCCCGTAACCGCCCGTGCGGATCCACGTCCTTTCTAGCCTCTGTGACGTCATCAGTTTTAACGGTCAAGGACAACTTTGTCCGCTAACTTGTGCAGAGTGAAGAAATCTTTCAAACCATACCAGAATGAGCACAATTCAGTCAAGGACACCGGAGAAAGAGGCAAAAAACCA